AATCACCCAGGGTAGGTTCAAACTTGTGATCCTTCTCCCTCAGCCTCACAGAGAGATAGGATTACAGGTGTGCACCACCACACCCGACTGCAAATTTAAGCTTTTGAGTAGTAAGCCATGTAAAGTGAAAGCATATACCCTAAGCTTGAACAGGTAGTTCAGGGTATCATCTCTGAAATAACTTATTACTAACTTACATAACTTGCCTCTAGGAAAATGTTAATTTTCTCAAGGAGGACGAGAAGGAAGAAGAAGATGAGGGGCTAGGGATTTAGCTCAGTGGTTTCGCCACCTGCTGAGCAAGTGCAAGGACCCGAGTTTGATCCCTGGTACCAAAAAAGAAAAAAAATTTAAAAAAAGAAAAAAAAAAAAAAGAAAGAAGATGAAAGAAAAAGAAAGAAGAAAAAAGAAGAGAGAAAAAGAGAACAATGGAACAAAATTTCTCAGTTATCCTCTTATTTAGAACAAGAACATCCTAAAAATAAGTTTCTAACCAAACTATCGTAGATGATTTCATCCACAATTTGAATGTTAGGAGCACATTTAATAAAAATAACTTCTCTAATTATTTTTGTCTAAGACCATTACACTTCACTTGAGTACAATTCTCAGGGTAGGGAAAAAATTAGCCCTGACCTCCAAAGCTTGCGTTAGCTTTGTGTATTTTCTTCTCTAGAGTCAATTTTTATAAGTGTCTTGGAGGCTTCTGCTTTTGCAAAGCACCACAAATTACAGATAGCACCAGTAGACACAGCTGCATTTCTCAAACCCTTCCAAGATGCTGCCTTATATAATCCCACCAAGTATTCCATTCTGCTTCAACATCTTAGTCACCATGGCAACCAGAGTCCTGCAAACATTTGGGCTTTTGATCATTTCCTGACAGTATTCAAAGCTTTTTCTAACATTATTCTCACTTCATTATGGACTGTAACTACATGCAAGCACTATTATAAGCAAAACACCATTCATTTTACCCATTTCTCACTCTTTGGACTCTTTCCTTACACAGTGAAAGAAAAAAAGAGCTAATTTGTGTGCACATATTATAAAAAGGTATTTTCAATCAAGAAAAATACTCTGTTAAGATAATCACAGCTGGGAAAATGAAAGGCTCAGACAACTCAGATGAACAACTCAATGTAAGGTAGAAAGATATATTTTCAAGAGTAAAAAGATAATTTATTACAACCCAAACTAGGCATTATACAGAAAATCTGAAGCCTTTCATGTATTGAAACACATGTTTTTTGCTGTTTTTTGGTACCGGGGATCAAACTCAGGACCTTGTGCTTGCAAGGCAGGCAGCGGAACCACTGAACTAAATCCCCAGCCCTGAAACACATGTTTTGCTTATAAAGTTCAAGCCAGAGGGAACATAAGCAGATTTCTGAAGCTGTACGTTCTGTTTCTTTACCTGACTACAAGTCACACAGGTGTGTTTGTAAAAGCCACATTTACACGCACTTTTCTGCAAAGTCAGACAGCAAGAAAAAAACAGAAAGAGGAAGAAAAAAGGAAAAATCTTAGTACTTCATAAACTGAAGAAACAAAGAGAAGACACAAAGGAAAGCTAGCAAAAAAGACAAGCACTAAGAGTGAAAGGAACATCCAGGGAAAGGGCCCAATCTTAAATGCTAACACAATTCCAGCTGGATTCCACTTGAGCCCCCTTCTTAAGCTCCAGTGCTGGTCCAGGCAACTTCTAATATATTTCATGTTCTCTACAGCACTATAATCCTCTTTTCTATTCAGATCACCCCAGATGCAGGACAGGGATAACAACAACAACAAAAAACCCTTCTCATAGTTTGTTCCGAAAGAAATGCTCAAAAACCTGTTGCTGGAACACCACCCAAACCCAGAACCCATCTCTTCCCAAAAAGGTTCCTGTTTGGAAGTCATAGATAAGCCAAGGTTAATGATGTCCTCCATGTGCCCTTGCTACAGACGCCACTTCCCTTTTGGATCAATAAAAGCTAAGCAATTATACTTGTAATCTTATTGGTTGATTATAGTTTGATCCACTTTGTACTCACCTTGTGATTCTGCCCTATAAAACATTCTCAGAGAAATGACTTTGGTGCCAATCCACCCGGGACCTCTTCTGTCTCTCAGGACTATTCCTACTCCCCAATAAACCTTTCCTACTCTAAAGAAACAAAAAACAAAAAAGTGTTGCTGAAAGCACAACTGGGAAAACACATTTGCAAAACCAAAACAATATTTTAAAAAGAAGCTGAAATATAATTCTTTAATTAGCAGATGCTTTTGGTATTATAAACTGTTGACATGGTGGGTGGGGAATACAGATGTACGTGAAAGTGATTTAAAAACTGCGGACTACGATACTCAAATGTGTTCTGTTATAAAGTTAGATTGTGGGTATAGTTGCACAACTGTAAAATACTAAATTGTAGGGCCAGGGATTTAGCTCAGTGGTTTGGCGCCTGCCTCGCAAGTGCGAGGTCCCGAGTTCGATCCCCAGTACCAAAAAAAACCCAAAACTAAATTGTAAGCCAGGAGCGGCAGTGAACATCTGTTATCCCAGCACTCATGAGGCTGAGAGGCAGAAGGATAGTCACAAAGCTGAGGCCAGCCTGGGATGGATGGATAGATGGATAGATAGATAGATAGATAGATAGATAGATAGATAGATAGATATGTATAATGAGATCGTGCCTCAAAAAAACCAAAACAACAACAAAAATACTAAATTGTGCTAGATGCACTGGCACATGCCTATAATCTCAGCAACAGGGAGACTGAGGCAGGAGATCACAAGTTTGAATCCCACCTGGGCAACTTAGTGAGAACTATCTCAAAGTTTAAACAAACAAACAGTTAAATGGCTGGGGAGGTATAGTTCAGTGCAAAGGCACTGGGTGCAAACCCAAATACTGCAAAAGTATATCTAAACAATCAAAAGCAACAATAAAACGTCCTAAATTGTTTAATTATAAACTTTGGGTAAAACTTACTGTGTTTAAATATAGCTCTATATAGCTGGAGAAAGAGGAGAAAGGAGGATGGGGAGGACAGGGAAAACAAGGAGAAGGACTATGAGCTGTTGCAACAATGCTCATACTTTGAGATTTAGAGCCCAGGCGCCAAAAATTACACAAGCGATTTTCATGCAAGCTTTTAAATACTGTACCTTCCTACTCTTGAAGTCTATCATTCCTTTAACTTTGTATTTGCTTTCAATTCAACAGGCACATGGAGTTAAGTGGGAAACATGCTCACCAGATCTGCAAATTCAGGCTATCAGTGAGCATAAGGTTGCCGCTGGGCTTTGATTTTTTTACAATTTCAAAGAAGAGACTATTAGTTTTAGTTCTGAATTTCCTGTGCCCAACACAGAATGTGGTACATACTCAATGCCAGTTAAATGTTGATAAATATGCCCAGATCATAATGAGGAAAAAGGAAAACAAGTACACAAATATAAAAGGTTTTAAACATTCTAGGAAAACAAGACTCAAAATCTAGGCCTCCAAGTAAAACTTTTGAATTATAACTAAAAAAAAGTTCTTTAAAAGTATATAAAATTAACCTACAAAGCAAAACTGATCAGAGCAGCAGAGTGTAAGACATAAGAACACTATCAAGAGAACCCATTTAACCAAAATTTACAAACTGTCTATAATCAGAAAGACACTGGCTATAGTGGCAGAGGCACAGTGACAAACAAGGTTCTGCTCATGGAGGCATTTCATTTTACTGTAGAGAATAACTGAATTTTTGCATTCTTTATCCTTACAACACTGTACTGATTCTTTAAAAAAAAAAAAAAAAAGGTAAGCAAGTAAAATAACCTGAAAAAATGATGAGCATTATAAACAAAATTAAATGAACATATAGAGAGGAAAATGAAAGGGCAGCTATAGATAGGATGGTCACGGAAGAGTCATTCGATAATCTTGTATGCATTTCCTTTCAAACTGGAAGCATTTTTTGTTTAAGACAAATTAACTGCCTTAAAAATAAACTCTGGGGCTAGGGATTTAGCTCAGTGGTTCCGCTGCCTGCCTCGCAAGTGCAAAGACCCGAGTTTGATCCCCGGTACCAAAAGTTAAATAAATAAATAAATAAAAATAAACTCTGCCTGTACATTTTCAAACCTGGGGATGTATAATACAATTATAAAACTTAGAAGAAAAATAATGCATTTCATCCACAAATAAACTATAAATGAAAATAACTATCTTTACAATCACTCACTACTATGTAAACTTTCAGAAATGAAATTTCTTCACCCTTAGTATTTTACCTGTTGCATGAAAGATAGGTTAAATCTCTTAAATAAAATAAAATGGTGCAAAATTATTTACTCATCACACACAGTAATATATAATCAAAAACACATTTTGACAAAAGCATACATGACCTCAGCTGCCAGTCTGCCCAGGACACACACTACTCTAATAAAAATAACACCGTCTTGGGGCTAGGGTACCACCGCCGGCCTCGAAAACGCAAGGTCCTGAGTTCGATCCCCAGTACCCCCCTCAAAAAAATTTAAAAACACCGTCTAGAACACTCTATTACTACTTTATTCAACAGGAATTTTAACCTAAAAAGAGAAAGAAAAAAATAAAAGAAACAGACAAGTAAACATATGTACAAAACTGTGACAACAAGCTCTACATTCAATTGCATTTGCATTCCTGGGCTCCTTGGACCTTCCTCAATATCCTAATATATAAAATCAAATGTAACCTAGACACAGTGTAATAATATACATATATATATATATATATATATATAGCAAAATAGCTCTTCCCAACTTGAGTAAAACTATGTTTTCCTCCTCTCCTTTTCTACTGTTCTTTCATCTAAGAGTAAACAATGTGAAAGGAAAAAAAAAACATGATCACTTCTTGTAGAAATTTTTATAACATCTATCCATGACTTTTAGAAACTTACAACAAATCAGCCAGGAGAAAAAAAAAACAGCATAACCAGACAAAAGTTTAAATCATCAAGAGCCCACTAACCTTAACCCATTGAACAGCTGCTTAGATTTATCCAGAAGATAACAAAAATCTGTGACCGTTTTTCTCTCTCCCTGTGGGATGTCATCTTCAGCACCTCCAGAGGACATGATTTCTTTAAGAGGAAATTCAGTCCTGTAAGAAAACACATATATATTTACCCAGCAGTAACAATAAAGAGAAACAGACCTTATTTGTATCATCTGATAGTTTTTTCCCAAGATAAAGAATTTTTCTGATTACACTCAAATGATCAAAGTATTTTAAGTATAAGATGGTGTTGAAAAATAGTTTTGTATTGGTGGGAATGAAAACTGGTAGAACCATGTTGGAAAGCAATTTAATAATATTCTTTCATCTAATATGTATTATATGAATGCTTAATTCTGTTCTAGATACTCCTCTGTATGGCTAACAATCTAAAACACCAATCTTTGTCAACTTTTGCCCATTTGATTCAGTCTGTAAGTACATCGAGGAAAATGATCCTACAAATGGAGAAAACCATTTCCATATTTCATTATCTCAACAATTAAAAACTGAAAATAACCTAAAATCCCCAAAGAGGGACAGAGTTAAGTATTTCACAGAAGGAATACTAATCACCACACAGTACCCTATTACTAACTTATTTATATTTAAGAAGATGAGGAAAGGCAGCTGGGTGTGGCAGCACACACCTTCAATCCCGGATACTCAGGAGAGTGTAGCAAGAGGATCAAAAGATCAAGGCCAGCCTGGGCAACTTAGTGAGATTGTCTCAAAATTTTAAAAATAAAAACAAATATATAGGGTTTATAGCTGCACAGCTTGTAATAGCGAAAGCTTGGAAACCGCCCAAGTGCCCATCAACTGGAGACTGGATAAAGATGTGGGTTTTTTATAAAATGGAGTACTACTCAGCCATAAAGAACGAGAAACTAGAGACATTTATAGCTAAATGGATGCATACTGAGGCCATCCTCTTAAGTGAAATAAATAGGACACACGTGTGTAAATACCAAACAGTTTCTCTAGTGTGAGAAACTGAAAGTGTAAGTAAGGCTACACACGGATGCAATTGCCTAATAACATATTTCTCGGCCTGTATTTCCATTGAGTGTCATATGACTGTATCGAAATTTAAATCTGGGAGAAGTCTGGCTTATGTGGAGTCTGCTAGCTAACTGGAGATTTTTTCCAGACCACTATTTGTTCAATGTTGGTTTTGGGGATCTTTCTGAAACAAATCACATCCTCTGGTGTCCTGTTGGTGCTTGAGATGCTTTTTTAAGTTATTTGGAAAAATGTTTAAGTGCTTTTCAGTTTTGTTTTGGTTGAGTTGTACTGTATTTGAATATTATTGTAGGTTTTTTTCCCTTAGCATTGTTCTTCTTTGAATGGTTTTAATTTTTTGTATGTGTGGTTCATAATAAAGTTACATAAAACATTTTTAAAATAAATAAATAAATAAATCATCTGCCAAGATGAATTCAGAAAAACAAAAAATGCCTGGAGGCCAGGGATTTAGCTCAGTGGTTCTGCCACCTGCTTTGCATGCACAAGGTCCCAAGTTCGATCCCCAGTACCAGCCCCCCACAAATTTTTTTTTTTAAATGGCTGGAGATACAGCTCGGTGAGAGGGTCTTGGGCTTGATCTTCAATTCTTAGTACAGTACTGGGGAGGGGAGGATGACAAATATACAGTATTTTATTGAATCTAAAATATATCCATATGTAATCTGTTATATTAATCAGCTATTTTTTAAATGTTAAGCTATAGTAATTTTTTTCAAATTCATTTGTTTACATACAGAAATCCCAGGGACAACACAGGAAAATGTGGTCCCAACGTGAGGTGAAAATATAGGCAGAGCAGACAAGGGTAAGAAACCAGAGCTGGAAGTTAAGGTGAATATTTTTTGCTCTGATATTGTCTCTAACAGGCAACTGGGGCCACACGGCAGGAAAACTGTCCACAAGCCTAGAGCTGTCAAGGGGCTTCAGAATACCACAGTACCACAGTACCAGCTGGCACTGGAGGCAGCTAGAGGCAGAGCCATTTACAACACCCATGGATGGCCCTGGGTGGTTCCTATGTCCACATGTTCACAGGCACCTTATTGCCTCTTACTTCACTCCCTCAGTCCATGGATAAGTGCTGTGCCTGTCATATTATAAAGAACCTTGACCCTGGGTATGTCCTCTCCTGCACAACCACCCTCAAAACCTTCCCCTCATTCCCTAAACCCAGCAGGAGAGCTATAAACCAGGCACAAACCAGCCTTTCCCTACTCCATTGCATGTCCTCACCAACCAAAGTAGTTATGTCTCCAAGATACATGAGTTCACAGAAGAAAAAAAAAACCAAAGCTTAAAATAAACATGATCAATAAGAGAAAATATAACAAAAGCAGGAAGAAACTGTCATTATGAGCAAATTTTAAAAAAGCACATATGAAAAATATAATCACTGAAACAAATTTAATAGATGAACTGAAGACCAGAAAGGATACAAATGAATAAATTAATAAGCTAAAAATATTAGGCTTATGGTACTCTGCCAAAAGACATCTAGAACTGAAAATACATAAAGAGAAAAGAGCTTTGGAATAGAAAAATGAGGGAAATCAACATCCACATAGTAGTATATATAGAAGGACAGAAAAAATGAATAGGGGTAAGTAAAGACATACTTGCAGGAATAGAGACTAAATTTCCCAGAATGAGAGAAAACATAAGATCTCAAACTGAAAGGATTTAAAGAATGTCCATTTAAAAAATTATGAATGGATGGATAAATGAATGAATAAATGCCAGAGCTGGAAACAATAAAACTTAAGAAATCCAGAGATAACCTCTTCTTGTCCTGAAAGATGCAGTCTCTAGCTCCTAGGTGTATATGCTCACAGAGGGCAGCCTCTATGGATGTGGGATACAAGTAAGCTGAGAAGCCCCACACACAGAAGGCTGACTCACACAGAATGCTGGAGAATGGGTGAGGTGCAGAGAGCACCTGTTGGGGGAAGGCTTCGAGGGAGGAAGAGCCTAGCAGGTAAGCAAGGCAATTCCACACAGAAAGGTTTGTAAACAGCATCAGGATATTTGCTCTATAGTGACTGATCAACTCTGACAATAAGGATGACAGGACCCAGAGTTCTTGCTGTTAGTGAAGAGAGATGCAGATATGGAAAAGGAAAAGGTTAGGATGAACCCTATGAACTGACATTAGAGATATCTGTCGACTGACAGATTCCAAGACTACAGACATAAATGTGTGGTGTGTGTAAACAGCATATACATATGCACACTCCTCAGCACTATAATTCCGTGCTGAGAAGACCTGGGAGCAGTGGCCACCTCCCCTCCCAATACTATGAACATACCTAGCACTTAACTCCTGGCTTCTACTTCCATCCTTCAATAAAATGAACCAAATCTCCTTGGAGAATTTTAGTTGGCCAATTACAGCACTAGAGTAGAAAAAGCATAAGATGATCTGGAATATCTTATGCCAAAAAGAAAGAAAGTAAAGAATGATGGAGGCATGTCATAAGGACATAGGATCCAGCTGGAAAGAGACTCTGGCTAAAATGAAATTAATTTCAGCATCAATACAAAGAATAAGGGCAACACATTCTAAGCTACTGAATAAAACAGGATATCATGAAGCAACAGGTATAAATAAATGGAAAGTGATAGCGAGTGAGATAGTTTCAGAGTTTTTCCCCACAAAATATATGTTACAGTAAGTCTCTGACTTATGAATAAGTTCCGTTCTGGGATGGATTCGTTTGTAAGTCCGATAAAGTGAGTCTTACACACCTTTGACAAATACACAATGTAAAGCATAAAATGACCAAACACACACACAAAAATACTGTAAGTAAATTATTTTTACTTTTTTGGATACCTTAAAATGGTGGTACAGTACAGTACAACAACTAGCATATAGGGGGTTGCATGGAGTGAACTGACAAGAACAGTCACTAACTGGAAGATGGAGAGGTGAGAGTTGGTGGAGCTGAAGGAGCATCAGGATCTTCAGGATCCCCCAGGAGATGGGGGGTGGGGAGTGAAGGTTGGCTCTAGCCTTGAATCTGTTAAACCATCCATGGCTGGTCACCCCATTTTTTCTTCAAAAGTCTTCAAACAGGCTTTTAGCTCTATCTTGAATAAGCATTAAGCTGAGTGGGATCATGCATCCTCACACTGAGAAGTTTCTCCATCTCCTTTATCACCTTATCACACTTTTTTAGATCTTATTGTTGACTTCACTGGCACAGAAGACTTCCCATGTTCCATGATCTTGTCCTTGTTCTTTAGAATTGTGACAATGGTTGAATAATTCATGTAATAAGAACAAGCAATGTCTACCATATTTTCACCTTGGTCCAATCTCTCAATTATTTTCACTTTTATTTCTATGGTTATGGATTTGCAATTCCTAGCAGTACTCTCTACACATCACCACTGCTTTTCCTCTTGTTTCCAGACATCCTGGGCTCTAACTGAGCACTGTACTACTGTACACTATGACACTGTGCAGTAAGCACAGTACCACAACTGCAACAATGTCTGGCAGATGCATGGGGTACTTCTGTGATTTCCTCAAGTCTATGAATGCTCACAATGCAAGGTCTGTTCATATCTATGAAAATTAGCAACTTGAACGTTTTTAAGTTGGGAACTTACTGTAATTTCAAAAGGAAAAGTAGCTACATAGCAGTAAAACCTAGCAGATATCACTTTGATCAACTGAGCAAAGTGAACACCGTTAGTAATAAGACTGATCAGATCAAGTCTTGTACAATGAGAAGTGATGTTCCTGCCAAAGATCCATAACCCAAGTCTAATCATGAGGAACCAAACTGGGAGACATACAAAAAATATGCAATATATATATATATGGTTTAAACTTGGAATCCTCCTGCTTCAGCTGTCCAAAGTGCTGGTATTACAGCCATGTCCCACCATGCCTAGAAAAATATATAATCTTCAAAAATGTCAAGGACCTTCCTCCAAAAAAAAAAAAAAAAAAAGACTCATATACAATGCCTGATTCTGAGCTGGATCGTTCTGCCATAAAGGATGTTCCTGAGGTAAGTACTGACTGTGGCTTAAAGACTAGGTGGGAGTGATGTATCAACACTGGT